ATATTTATTGAGTTATTTGAAATAATAAATAATTAATTTATATATTATATATTAATATTATTTTAATAAATTAAATTTTTATTTAATAAGTTATATAAATTTTTTTTTATATTTAAAGATTATATTTTATAACTGTTATTTTATTAACATATATTGAAATTAGTATTACAATTATTTTTACAAAAATAAAAGTATAATTAGTTATATATACAACTTTTAGTTGCTTATTTTAAGTAGTTTGCTCTAAAGTTTTATATTAAATGTTGTACTTATAATATACTAGAAGATTATCTATTTAAACTCTTTAGTTATCTACTTTGTTATTTTTTTAACTACTATAAAACTTTATATATACTTAACTAGTATACTGTTTAAGCAGTATAATACTTTCTTTTTTTGAACTAATACTTAGATTATTATATATATCAAAGTATAATACTTATCAATAAGGCTTAGAAGACCCATTATATTAATTATTTATCTACTTTACAAACTATTAACAAGAATTTGCTCTTATAGGGTTAATCTGTAATTAGTATCTACTTTATAATATTTTTTTAGCACTTTTAGTATATCTTTGCTTTGTTTTTAGACTTTTAATTCAAATAGCTTAAAAAGATTATAACTTGGTTTTAATATATCAAATCTAATCTGATATTTTTTTTTATTAGTTTGAATTTAATAGTCTGGTTAGTAATACTTTTTATTTAAAGGTTTTTGCTTATTTAAATTTTTTATATTAGTATTTGTTTTCTAGATTTGATCTTTATAGTATTACTATTAAAGATTTATATTATCTTTTTACTTAGGTCTTTTCTAAATAAACTTTAATTTTTTTTAGTTTTACAGATTTATATAATTATAAAAACTTATCTTGAATTTGCATTATCTGTTACTAGTTTGTATTTTTTTATATAACTAAAATTACACAAATGCTTTATAATCTACTAATTATATTAATATAAACATAGTTACAAATATCTTATTTCAATTAATCAACAGAATGTTATTGTCATTATACATTATATTGCATAAGTTATTATTCAAATTTTTTCTGTTAATAGGTTTTGAACTTATAATCTACTATTTGGAGGTTGATAACTTATTTATTTTACTAAGTTGCCACATTTTCATATAAAATTTTTAGTATTTAATATATTAGTTTTATAATATTTAAAACTTTTTTAAATAGTAATTTTAGACTAAAGTAAAATTATTACTTAAAAAAAATTTGAAAATTATATAATATAGTTAATTTATTATAATTTAATCATAAATTAATTTTTTTTAGATTTTTAAAATACTGTAATATTAATAAAATTTTATAGTATAATTTTTTAAAATTTGTATTTTTTTATAAGTTAATATAAATTTTATAATATGTATAAAAATTAATTTTTTGCAAAATTAATTTTTTATTAATTTGATTATTTTCCCCAATATCTAACCCTTATATAAAAAAACATATATATCAATCAGATTGCTAAAAACTTATTAAAGAAAAAGAATACAAAATATATTATGAATTTGATTATAGCATATTATATAAAACTAAATTAGTTATATATAAAATATAGAATATTCTAGCAAAAAATAAAATAGTTTAATATTGTTAATTTTTGCTTCTAGTAAGAACTTGTAATAGTAAAAGTTTTAATAACACTATTAATTTTTTTTTAATAAAATTATAATGACCATTTATTGACCTTTCAGTGATTTTCAATCAACAATACTAAAATAATTCTAAAAATATTAATATGTATTAAGTACTTTGAATAAGTTAAGTCTTAAAAATATCTTTATAATACAAAATAAATTGTATATGCAGAAAATTTAAATAAACAAAACCTATAGTTGATTTGTAAACATAACAACTAATATAAAACTTGTATAGTAATATATAAGCAAACTACTTAAATTAAGCACCAAAAATGCATATATAACTAGTTGTAACCTCTTATATAAGAAAGCTCTTAAAGGCATCTGTGTTCATATAACTTAAATAAAAACATTGCTTCTCAAAGAGGCATCTGTGTTTATATAACTTAAATAAAAACATTGCTTCTCAAAGACAGAAACTTTAACTAAAAAAAAATTATATTAATAATATAATTACTATATATTAATTAAATAACTAATATTAATGCTTTTAAAATCTTATTTTTGCTATAGTTTAGGTTTTTTAACTTTAAGATAATCAAAAAACTATAATATATATATACTGTATATAATATTGAATACTAGTAATAATTTAGTATTATTATTTTTAATTAAAAATATTGATTTAAAATATTTATATAAAACCTAGAATACTAATAATCAAACTTAATATAAAAAACAAACTTAGATTTACTTTATAATTATGAGTCAAATATATATATAGTATATGTTTGTATAAATTTTTTTATTTAACTAAATATTAAATAACAAAAATAAAATTTACTACGTACGTACGTATCAGCTCTTATGTGATCATTAAAATTTTATGCACAAAGTCATGAAACATTTTTAACAAAAAGAAATCACGAATCACGATATAATGATAAAAAGTAAGGTTTTACATAACGAAGCCCTGATGCAAGAAAAATGGGACTAACTCGATTTATATACGTTATTAGTGTACAAAGTTCAATCCAAACTTCTATATATCGTAAAAAAAAAATCCAACGCCCCACAGTTCTAGAACTTTATACTGAACAGTTTATGTAAAGATACTAATATGACTTATTTTATTTATGATGAGAATATTTATATTGTTAATACCATAAATAATAAAATGAAAAAATTTTTTTTTTTGACCAACACGAAATCGAGTTTTTTTTTAAAAAAAATCCGATTTATTTACTATAACGATAACAATAAAATTTGATTACAATTAACGTAAAGTCAGATAAAATTCAGATCTAAAATTAAATTTAATTGTACATAAATAATACCGATTAATATTTCAAGTCAGATTAATCGGTTTTATATAAAATCCGATAAAATCATATGAGCCATAGCCCTGATATGATCACTACCAACAAAGTACTAAGTGTTTTCATTTTTTATCTTTTTTTTTATGTATATGGTATCACGTGGATTCACTGCAGAAATGCAGTGAACTGATGTAGTAACTGATATTTTGTAGATTGTAAAATGTAATACCTGATACTACCGCTACTGCTACATGCTTTCATAAAGACAAAGTTTTAAATCAGGCGATTTTAATTTCATGTGATATTAGTCACGTTTTACTTGTTCTAGAAATATTTCGATACGCGTAATTTCAGAATTTCAGAAATTTTCAAACGAGAATCAAAGCATTTATCATATACGTATAATATTTTCGTACAATTTTTTTAACACATTTCAAACAAAACACATGAGAAACGAATTTCGAAATTTTTTAAACGAGAATCAAAGTTATTTTATCATATATACGTATATATTTTCGAACATATTTTTTAAACAACATTTCAAACAATACACATGAGAAACAATTTTCGCGACTTTGAAATTTTTTTAATTAAAAGCTGTTCTTCTTTGAGAAACTTATTTTATTTATATATTTTTTTTAATTATTTTTTTTAAATAATTATTTGTTTTTTTGTTATTTTTTTTTTTCTTTAAAAATTTTGAGAAAAAGGGTATACAGAATTTTTTTACATATTTTACAGAAAGTTTTATAAACAATAATTATAATTCCCCTCAGGGGATTAAAAAAAAAAAAAAGAAAAGAAAACGGATTCTACTTATATAAAAAAAAAAAAGGAAAAAAAAGAATTTAAATATTGTATGTAGCGGAGGGATGTAAGAAAAATTTTTTTTTTAAAAAGGATATATATATATATATTTATAAATTACAAAAGTATGGATCATCGTAGGGGGTACACTGAGAGAGGAAACAGTAAATGATAATTTTAAGGTAGAAAAAAAAGAAAAAAAATACACTGTACAGAAATTTCCTCTATATCTATATCTATTGGATTTCCCATCTTTTTTAAAAGAAACAACACCTTTGCGTCGTCAAAATTCGCCTATTACGGTAGGTATGTGTTCACACCATTTTTTCAATAAACGAATATGACTCACCAAATATTTTGTCAAAGTTCTCGGAACAAAATAAAAAAAAAAAAGGAAGAAATGAACTAGGAAATCCTTATAGCATATATACCGGTGAATGAATTAATAATCGGAGTAATGGCGAGGATTAGAACGAAACAACATAATTGTTTTGTTCAAAGCAATAAAGGGTTTCAAAAGAAAACTTTTAGAAACCGGGTGGTTGTTTTTTTTTCGTAAGTTTCATAATTTTTTTGGTTTTTTAGATTAGTTGGGTATTTTTTTGTTTTAAAGGAAAAACCTCGCCATAATCTTATAGAGGGGTTAAAAAATTAAGCTTATATACATTTGCTATTTCCTCACAAAAAAAAATTGTAAGAAAAAAAGCGATTGTAGTAAATACTTTTAAACAATAAAGAAATAAAAAAAAGAGAATAAAAAAAAAGAAATATTGTGCTTTAGACAATATTCTCATATAAAAAATAAAAAAAAACTTAAGAGATATTTTGTGGTGATTGCGTATTTTTTTTTCTAAAGGAACACATTTAGGTTGTGCATACTTCACGAAGAAAAAAATAGCAGGTTAATAAAAGGTGATGGATGGTATTCGGATAGTATTCGGATAGTATTCGGATGCATATGTAAACCATCATTAGATGGCATCATTAGATGACCATCATTAGATGGTTTAGAAATCCCAAAGAGTAAAGGGAAGATATTGAGAAGCATCGATAATAATAATAAAACTGTACAAAGACAAGGTTCAACAAGAAGAAAGAAGAAGGAGGAGGGAAAAAAAAAAAAAAGAGGAAGAGATATAGGAGGGAAGTATAATACAGAAAAAAAAAATGTTCAAATATTATTAATATTTTGTGTAGTCGTTTTTTTTTTTTTTTAGACTACAAACTGTTCTTTGTGTTTTTAAAAAAAAGATGACGGTGATGATTTAGGAATAATTAATATCCCAATGCATCATCCAAATTCCTCCAGCTGCCAGAACTTGAGGAAGAACTTGAGCTAGGACTACCACCAATGTCGAGATCATAATCAAGACCAAGGGGAGAGCAACCAGGATATGAAGTCAAGCCATATTGATTTTCACCAGAATAGGTGAAACCACCGAATGCTTCATTCATTTCACTATTTATTGACGCGTTAGTTCCATTGCGACTCAAATTTTTTGATACAGAAGGCCAATCAATACTAGTTTCTTCTTCAGTAAATGAAGGATCAAAGCATGAAGTATCATCTTCTGAAGAAACATTCGGTTTGAATGGAGGAGATACTTGTTTACGATACAAAGCATCCCAATCAATATTAGCGAAGAAAGGATGATTTTTAATTTCTTCAGCATCGTTGTGTGAGCCAAGTCTATTATTAGGATTGCGAGCCAAAAGCTATTAAAAAAAATTAACGAGATTAGATTAATAAATGAATGAATGAATGAATGAATGAAATTAAATATTTAAATGAAATATTAAATAAAAAAGCTTACCCCTTTTATCAAACTTTTTGCATCTTCACTAAAGAAACCCTTAGGGAACTTTAATTTTCCGAACAAGATTTTACGATACATTAATTGAGTATCGTTTGTATAAAATGGACTGAAGCCAGCAATCATTTCATAAAATAATATTCCTAAACTCCACCAGTCTACGGATTTACCGTAACCACATTCGGCCAAGACTTCAGGAGCAAGATATTCAGAAGTACCACAGAAAGTATTGGTAGTTTGTCCGGCAGCCAGATTTTCTTTACATAAACCAAAATCACAAAGGGCTATATGCCCAGTAGCATCAAGTAGAATATTTTCAGGTTTAAGATCCCTAAAAAAAAAAAAAAAGAAAGAAATATGAGAATTTAAATTTAATAAATTGTTTTAAATGTAAAAAAAAAAATTTTAAAATAGTATATATATAAAATGTAGATGTTTACCTATATACAATATTATATTTATGTAAATGTTCCAAAGCAAGAACTATTTCAGCAGCATAAAATTTTGCTCTTTCTTCAGAAAGTCTAATTTCATTTTGTAAATGCCAAAATAATTCACCACCATTCATAAAGTCGGTAACCAAATAAAGGTGAGTTTTTGTTTGAAAAGAGAATTTAAGTCCAACTAAGAAAGGGCAGGCTTCAGCTTGAATTAAAATATTTTTTTCAGCCAGAGTATGTTCAACTTCACGACGTTCTATTAAATCTTGTTTATGAAGAACTTTCATGGCATATATACGATTTGTATCCTTTTTACGAACTTGAAAAACTTTTCCAAAGTTTCCTTTACCAATCAATTTAAGAACTTCGAATGAAGAAGGTTTCAAATGAGATTTCTAAAAATAAATAATAAAAATTAAAAAAAAAAATAATTATTAATTATTATTTGTTATTTATTAAAAAAATATATTTATAATAAATATTTAATATATTTACCTCTATTTCAACTTTTTCGTAGGCAATTTGGATGTGTAATTCACCAGTTACCATTTCTTTTCCGCGTGGTAACAGTCTAAAAGAATATAATCAATTTATAATTAATATAGAATCAATTTATAATCAATATATAATCAATATATAGAATATTCAACAGCAACAAATATTAATTATAAAGTTACATACTTGAACCAGCCATCAACAACGTCATTAGAACTTCTGGGAGGTTGAATTTTCAACATACCCAAGAAGACTTCAGGTCTAGTATGATCGGGAACACGTTCATATACCAACACATGAACTTGACCGTCTAAACGTGCAACGTCACTAAATAAAGAATACAATTAAATTAATTTTTTATAAAAAAAAAATATTATATTGATTATATTAATTATATTAAACTTACAAAACGGCTTTTTGTTTCCAAACAGGACTTGTAGCAGCACGAACAAGATCGAGAAACTCGATCTTACCATTACGAGAAGAAGGAAGTTCACAATCACGAATAGCTTCTCTTGTAACAAATTCATTTCGTTCGAATTCTACCACACAATAAGGACGAGCTTGAAAGTTACTAACATTTAACTTTCTACCTTCAACTATAGTAACAGAGAGACGACCGGTAACAGGAGTTTGGGTAACATTATCAAAAGCACTATTTGGATCAAAACTTGGAGAACCGGACCTTGGCGTTTCTTGACCAAGTTCTGAACGATGTTGATGTTGCTTTGTTGATAAACCATTATTGTAAGGCATTGAAGACATTGAACCCGTAGGACTATGACCAGGCGATCCAGGAGGTGTTGGCAAGTAATGATTAATCTTTGCGTTGTTACTCCACTCCACCAATTTTTGTTTAATATAATAAGTCATGATCTTTTTTGTTGTCGTTGTTGTCGTCGTTAAAAATACAAGAGAAAGAAAAAAAAAAATAAAATACAAACACAAAAGTGTTTTTTTTTTTAAAAAAAAAATTTATTATTTTGTATAAATAAGTTTTTATTAAGGAAGAAAAAAAAAAAAAGATGAAAATCTTTTTTTTTGTTTGAATCCTTTGTTAGGAGTGAATTTGGCAGGTTTGTGGGGAAGTAGCTCTATTTAAACTTTTTTTTTAACTATGTCGTGAAAAGTCTAATAAATATCAAGGATATATTAAATTAAAAGAGAGTAGAGTAAGTAATAAGTTTTTACTTTACAACTCTTTTAATTTATGCCCCTTATTATTTTCAAGCAAGCGAATATATTTAATGTATTTAAAAAAGGCGTTTTTTGTAAATTGGTTCGGTTTTTAAAGTTTCTGGGTCAAGTAACTTGTTTAAAAAAAGAAAAACCGTTGGTTCAGATGATATTTTGTTCTTGGGTTTTTTTTTGCCTGTACAAGACAGGCAGTATAGGGATTTCCTATTGTTTGACGAGAATGGGAAGTATATACTACGTAAAAAAAAAAAAAAAAAAAAAAGGAAGATTATTGACTTAGTTCATTTGTAAGTCTTGATTAAAAGGATTTTTTTTTTCTCTGCCGATATGATTTAAAAAAATGTGAGAAAGACGAAAAGGTAAAGTATAAAAATATTTTTGAAAGAGATTTTCAGTCAATAGTTATTTGGTTATTTTATTTTATTTTTTTTATTGACCATAGTAGACTGTAGTAGTAAGAGGCTTGCCCGCCTTTGTAGCCTTTGTAGTCAAGTTATTTGTCACTCTTTTTTTTTTTCGCTATAAGTTATGTAAGTTGTGTATGTATAGTTTTACCCCAAAAACAGGCAAATTGAAAAATATTAAAATAAAAAATTCGATTAAATATGTAGTAGATGTTCGTCGAACATCCACCAATAAAAAAAGTCATCTAAAAACTTACAAAAAGAAACTATACCGGATTTATTTTCCCTTCTCCACATTGATGATATATCCGAACAATAGGCGTACAGTAAAGTAAACTTTATTTTTTATTTTTTTATTTTAAAATCGATTCTTTATAAAAAAAGTTTAATCATACCCTTTTTATATGCTAGCAGCAGACAATAAATACAATAAAAGAATAGACACCAACAATAACCTTAGTTTTTTAAATAATGATTATTTTTTATGGAATTTGATCATCCTATATACTGTACTAATATACTGTACTAATCTACTACTAAATCTACATGTTTGATGAATGTATCGATACAAATCAGTATATGCAATATAATCCAATATAGTATATGTAAAGTAGATTGGGAATACTGATATGTAATATAGATATTTTCAGTATAGATATCAATATTGTTATACACAGACTGTAATATATGTTAGATATGTATTAAATATGTGTTAGATATGTGTTAGATATATGTTAAGTATGGAATTATTATTATAATCCTGTATTCTTTTTTTTTTTACCCAAGGTGGCGTTTATGTGTTTGTATATTTTTCTAATTTTGAACAAGATGAGAAAAAAACTTTTCCAAAATAAAAAATTGTTTGTTTCCATAAATTATTGAGTTTAAATTATCGGAGTATGTGATGATGTTTTTTCGTTGATTGAAACAATGAATTACATTGTTGTTGTTTAATAATTATTGAAATTCTTGAATGTAAAAAAAAAAAAAAAAAAAAAAACCTGTAATAAGAATAAGAATAAAAATTAAAAGAATATAAAGTCGGGGAATATAAGTAGTTAAGAAAAGGAATAGTAAGAATTATTTGAGGAGAATAGACAAGATTTTTTAAAAGAAACAATTGTTTTGTCATGGTAAAGATTACTAAAGTAACGAAAAATTGGGTGATGAGTTCAAGATTTGGTTAATAGGTAGTACAAAATGCGACAAATGCGATAAACGCAGATTTGTTTAGTAAACAAAGTGCCAAAAAATTTATAAACAGTCAGCAAAACTCACTTGATCAAATAAAGTATTTATTGACAAAAACCATTGTCCTTCCTTGCACACATTCAATGTGCCGGCCTGCACCCCGAGTTTCTCGACTATTAAATAATACATTATACAAAGAAGGGTCTTAAACGGCTCTATCAACAGCATGAATGCCAGATATTAAAGGTACATAGGTTGATAAAGTTTCGATTTTTAGAAGATATTGTAGTACACAGGTAAAATGGAGTATCAAAAAAGTCAGTTGGGTAAAAACTCAGTTGGTAAGTTCAATTGGTAAACTTGGTAAAAGATGGTAAAAAGATGGTAACGCAATTTAGTAAAAAGAAAAAAAATCTTTTCAACAAGTAAAAAGTAACACAACATTTATGAATTACACTTTAACTCTTATTTCTGGACCCTGAGCTGCATTTTGGCTGGTTTTATCGTAAGTCTTTTGCCTTTTTTTAATTCATAGCATTTACTTGTACATATGCGCATTTACGGTACTACATTCTGCATATAACATATACAGTATGCATATAACATATACAGTATGTATATAATGTATATATAGCGTATGTATCTACAATGTTATTTATGTAGTATTTGCATGTATCGGTATCTTTCACATCTGCATACTATGTATATACTATGTGTATGCTATGTATATACTGTATGTATGTATACTGTGTGTGCACTGCCTTCGTCTTTTTTTTTAAAAATAAATGTGTCACATACATAAAATTTGAATTTATCAATTCAATTTTTTATATACGTATAATATATGCAAAGATTTGTTGTAGATAGTCATAGATTAGCATTTTAGTAGATCCTCCATAAAATATACGTACGTATAGTGATCCCAAGAGAAAAAAAGATGGTGGGGTATTATGTACATACGTACGTACCTACGTACAAGGTTCTCATCAGTATATCTGTACGTATAATGTGTATATTTAATCATATATAATATATATTTAATATCATTAATGTGTATATAATATGTATACGTATAGTGTATACCAGATACGTATAGTGTATATAGCATTAATGCATATAATAACACTAATGTAATACGTAATATTAATGTAATAACATTTATATGTATAATTACTACTATATTAACCCTGCTATGTACGTATGTATGTACTTATACATCAGAATTAATTAATATGCAAAGACATCATATGTGCAATATAATATCCGATAATCTTTTTGTAATCTTTTATAATCTTTATGGTAAAAGAATAAAGTCTAATAATGATCTATTAAACGTATTAAACGTAATGTTTTTTATCAAATTGATTTGACCAATTATTTTTAATAAATTTGGTTTAATAAGTACTTTTTGTATGCATGTACAAGTTTCAATAATTTCATCAAAATCATTAATTTTAACACATCAGTATTTTTTATAAATTAAATTCTATGTATTAATATTTTGTAACATTTCGTAACACTTTGTAATATTTTTTTTTTTTGTGTAAATTTCCAGAATTTGAAAAACAAATATTCTCCTTGTACCATTATTTAAAACAGTAAAACAGGGATGCAGGAAAATAAAGTTATCGGTTTTGAATTTTTAGGTTTGAATTAACTGTACTATTAACTGTATTAATAACTGTATTATATTAACTATTATTATTGAACTGATTTTAACAATGAATCTTTATTTAAAGTTGAAACAGGGTACATAATTTAGATCAAGGGCATGTTATTGTTAGAACGAATTTTAAACCGAATGTTAGAACCAATTTCTAGAATAAAAAAAAAAAAAAATCATCTAAAAAATTTTAGAATAATTAGAATAAAATCTTAGAATCAAGTGACATAGAATAAATCTTGGAGTCAAGTGACATAGAATAAGATCTTAGAATAAGGTGTCAAACTGACGTAAAAAAAGGAAAACTAGATTTGTTTCCGCATCAAGTAAATGGAATACGTAAGTAAATGAAATAATAAAATATAAATAAATATAATAAAGGTAAATAAAATGTAAATAGATGTAAATAAAGATAATAAATATAGTAAATGTAGTAAATGTGAGAACTTTTAACGAATATGAACGCGTCAAACCTGTCAAGTAATAAAGTTGACAATCTAAAAAGAATTTTGATGAATTAAACGTTAAAAGGTGCACGAAATTATCCAATAGAATAAACTCTTGCATAAATCATATATACATATATATATACGTATATATTTTACTAATTCAATTATGCAAATCAAACTACAAACTATCACGTACAAATTCAAACAATAACAGGTTGATTCACAAATTTTTCCGTACAAGTTTTAGATATAAGAGTATATATGAGTGATATATGATTGGGTACACGATATCGTTGACACGTTAAAATTTTACATTTTACGCGATTTTTTTTTTTTTTTTATTCAATCTTTCATCTAGTTTATCTAATCTCCCAATAAATTATGTCAATGATGTCAATTATGTCAATTATGTCAATTATGTCAAATGTGTCAATTATGTCAAATATGTCAAATGTATCAATTGTGTAAGAACAAACCGTTGAATATATCTTTATTGTTACTTTTTTTATTTTCTCAATACTTATTCTCAATATTCAATACTTATTCTCAATATTCAATATTTATTTTCAATATTAATTGACGTATTGTTCATAGTATCAAACAAAAAACCTGTTTGTTATTTTTAACCTTTATTTAAATTCATTCAAATTCATTCAAATTCATTTAAATGACATTTAAATGACATTTATGATTTTAGAAATTTTAGAAACTGGCGGTGAATTTGTCATCAATACCTATACCAGAGTTGAGACAATATGATCCAATGCAATGGGTATTTTGAATCATAGACAGCGTATAGATTAATATCTTTAATCAAACAATATTAAAAGATTCCTCTTTAAGAGTTCTTGTGATAGGTTGAATAAACCTTTCTTATCGCAAACGCCTTGATTATTATGCAGGCTGTCTGATACAAACAATGTAAACCATATTACTTTATAAGGTTAAAAATTCCTTTTTTATCAAGCT